TAGCCCCAGTCCTCCATGGAGAAGCTTGAACCCCCGCCTTCACTGGTGCTGTCAGGGAGAGGGACACCTGCTTGGGCTTGGGGAAGGGGAAGCAAGGGGGTGTCAGGAATGGCAGTGGGTGGGGGAATCAAGTGGTCAGATTCCTCTTTTACCCCAGCTATGAGGAATGTGTGGACTTTAATTGGAGGAAGTATGCCGGGCAACCTAGACGGCACTGCAATTTTATGAAGATTTGCAAAGGGTGACTCTGCTCAAGACCCACTCCGGGACTGGCATGAATACTAACGTGTCAATTGTTTTGTGGAGATAAGAGTGAACATTTCCCAGGGCTGGTTGGCACTGTATTTAGTCTGTATGAAAATGGTAATTTACATATTTAAAGCAGCGACCTCATAGCACCATCCCTAATTGAATTAATTGCCCCGGAACATCTAATTTCCTTACTGGTCAGAGAGAGGTTTAATTGTTATAAAAACCTGGCTCCCCTACTAGAAATGAGGTTAGCAATTTCACGGGTTATATATTTTAGAGAACCTCATTAAGTGCTTTTTAAAATGAAATTCCAGTTCCAGGCGAACCCTGACTATCAGATGAGTGGAGATGACACCCAGCATATCCAGCAATTCTATGATCTCCTGACTGGCTCCATGGAGATCATCAGGGGCTGGGCGGAGAAGATCCCGGGCTTCGCTGACCTGCCCAAAGCGGACCAGGACCTGCTTTTCGAATCGGCTTTCTTAGAACTATTTGTGCTGAGATTAGCCTACAGGTAATGGAAGGCTGGGAATGAAGGAAGAGAGGAATCAAGGAAAAGAAAGAGGAAAAGGAGAAAAAGGGTGGAGGGAGAAAGAGAGGAGAACAGATGTGAAATAAAAGAGAAGATAGGAAGGAAAGGGGAATAGATAAAAGGAAGAGAAGGGAAGCAGTGAGCATAGAAGCCTTATATGAATGGAGAATGGAGGTGGGATAGGGGGCGTTCTTGATTGTTATGAAATTAAACCCTTTCAAGGTCCACTGGTCTACGTTTTATTAACTCTTGGGTAATTAGGTACCTCTTAAATCCCTCATTTATTGCTCTTCAAGTAATTAGTTGTTTAGCCTTTTTTTTTTTCTCTCTCTCTCTCTCTTTTTCTCCCCTCTCTCTCTTTGGTATTAATTGCAGGTCCAACCCAGTGGAGGGTAAACTCATCTTTTGCAATGGGGTGGTCTTGCACAGGTTGCAATGTGTTCGTGGCTTTGGGGAATGGATTGATTCCATTGTTGAATTCTCCTCCAACTTGCAGAATATGAACATCGACATTTCTGCCTTCTCCTGCATTGCTGCCCTGGCTATGGTCACAGGTCAGTACCAGAGGCACAGGGCATTTCTCCTCCTGAACTTTCCTTTCCCGCCGATCCTCCCTGGTCCTGTCAGCTAGCTAACTGCTTAGTGCATTCCTCTTTTGTTTCTGATTGTGTTTTCTGCAGAGAGACACGGTCTCAAGGAACCCAAGAGAGTGGAGGAGCTGCAAAACAAGATTGTAAATTGTCTCAAAGACCATGTGACTTTCAATAATGGGGGCTTGAACCGCCCCAACTATTTATCCAAACTGTTGGGGAAGCTCCCAGAACTCCGTACACTTTGCACACAGGGGCTACAGCGCATTTTCTACCTGAAACTGGAAGATTTGGTACCACCACCAGCAATAATTGACAAACTTTTCCTGGACACTTTACCTTTCTAAGACCTCCTTCCATGCACTTCAGAGAAACTGGAAAGAAACCTAAAACTGTCCAGAGGGGGCAAGTGACAAGGGCAGAGAGATCCCCCTGAGCTGTCTCAGCTCTAGTCAGCCCCCTCCCCTACCATACACCCTGACCCTTGATCCCTAAAGAAAAAAAACAGAAACAAACAAAAAAACAAAAACTGTTGCTATTTCCTAACCTGCAGGCAGAACCTGAAAGGGCATTTTGGCTCCGGGGCATCTTGGATTTAGAACATGGACTACACACAGTACTGTGGTATAAACTTTTTATTATCAGTTTAAAAATCATTTTATTGTTCAGAAGGAAGATTGCTAATGTATGACGGAAAACATTTGGCCACGTTTGGTTGTTGCAGTTAAAATAAATGTAATACACATACACACACACACACATTGTAAGGGGACCCACAAGTATTGCCCTTTAAAAGACTTCAAAGTTTTCTGCTGTAAAGAAAGCTGTAATATATAGTAAAACTAAATGTTACGTGGGTGGCATGAGTTGAAGAAGGCAAAGGCTTGTAAATTTATCCAATGCAGTTTGGCTTTTTAAATTATTTTGTGCCTATTTATGAATAAATATTACAAATTCTAAAAGATAAGTGTGTTTGCAAAAAAAAAAAAAGAAATAACTACACAAAAAAGGGACAAGCATGTTGATTCTAGATTGAAAATGTTATAGGCACTTGCTACTTCAGTAATGTCTATATTATATAAATAGTATTTCAGACACTATGTAGTCTGTTAGATTTTATAAAGATTGGTAGTTATCTGAGCTTAAACATTTTCCCAATTGTAAAATAGGTGGGCACAAGTATTACACATCAGAAAATCCTGACAAAAGGGACACATAGTGTTTGTAACACCGTCCAACATTCCTTGTTTGTAAGTGTTGTATGTACCGTTGATGTTGATAAAAGAAAGTTTATATCTGGATTATTTTGTTGTCTAAAGCTAAACAAAACTTGCATGCAGCAGCTTTTGACCGTTTCCAGAGTGCTTATAATATACATAACTCCCTGGAAATTACTGAGCACTTTGAATTTTTTTTTAACGTCTAAGATTGTCAGTTAATATATTATTTTATGTTTGAGTAAGAATTTTAATATTGCCATATTCTGTAGTATTTTTCTTTGTATATTTCCAGTATGGCACATGATATGAATCACTGCCTTTTTTTCTATAGTGTATGACAGTTAGAGATGCTGATTTTTTTTCCTGATAAATTCTTTCTCTGAGAAAGACAATTTTAATGTTTACAACAATAAACTATGTAAATGAACATAATTTTGTCTTCTTTCTGGGTTAGGTAAAAATGATTACTAAACAGCAATATACAATAGACAGAATTGGAGATTGATTTGGGATAGGTCATTTATTCAACATTTGAGTTTCAAACTGAGAGCCTAGACCTATTCTGGCAAAATGAACTGGAAAATTGAACTAATTATCCAGAGAATTCAGAACAACATTTTTCCTTAACCAGAACTTTCCAGTGTGGCAGCATGCATTTATCAGAATCAGGTGAGAATATCTCAACTATTCTATTAACTTTGCTCTGAAAGCTAAGTGCAGCTTTCATAGAAGTTCAGAAGACCCAATAGCATTTGAACTTTTCCAGTTTTGAAGTCCTTTTGGGTTTTTTGTCTTGCATAATGTTTAGAAAGTATCTTTTTAAGACTCAGTCTACACGGATTTGAAGTGTATTGTATATAATCTCTGGTTTTTTCCAATTTCTTGTAAAGGGTCTTGGAGGAAGAGTCGAGCATTTTGGTCCCTTTGGGTCAGTGGTCTTTGGCATAGAACAGAACTCAGTAAAGACATTTCTTACAACTTTTTTCCTCCTTTAGTGAATAGTGATGAGGTTCAATTTGCAGTCTTAGAATAATATACCTGTCTTAAAAGTTTCTTGGATAAAGAATAAGATATCTATTTGTCAGGTTCTGGTTCTTTTTAGGTACAAACAAACTATGCCACAGTATCTAGGCTTCCACTCAGGACTAACTTTTGGCAAAAAAAAAAGTAGTAAAGTCACTTTTGGTCTCAGTTTCCTCTCAGTGACCTGGAGGTCCAGCTAGTCATAAATTCTGGAAAGTGCAGGATGGGGATGATTTTCTTCCTTGATCCTAGTGAGTTACAGATGGTCTCCTGGTCACTGAAATTGACAAAAAGTTATTATTTTTAAAATGCAGAGTTAGTAAATTGCCAGGAGAGTTCTTAGGTTTTATTTTTAGTTTACCTTTGCTTACTTTTTTTTTTAAAGACATGTTTTGCGGGTCGAGCAATAGAGAGAAGGCAGGTCTCCGTGATAATTTGAGGTTATTTTCATGTGATGCGCTACTCTACAGGTAACTGAGAGGCAAAAGTTGGTGGCCACATAAAGAGATTAAAAACTAAGCGGAATGTTTGACGCCCTTGCTTTCTTGAAAAGATGAGGCTTGCCATTTCCTTTTATTTTTCACAACTTCTGCCCACTAACAAGCAGAGAGAAAGAGAAATCTCTTTAGAAATGCTAGGAGTCTGCAGAGCCGTCAGCAGTCTTCTCCCAGGTGTCTGCAGCCCCGAGACAATTACATCCCGACTCGGAATCCTCCAGAGTTAAACCCAGAAACGAACTCTGTTGCAGCTTCTCCCTTAAGGCAGCGGCTGCGCATCACCCGAGGCCAATGGGGTATCAGGTAGTGCGCCTCCCGAGAATTTGGGGTGAAAGGAGGGAGGGGTGACTCTCTCCTGTGTCCGCTTGCAGACTGAACCGGCTCCGCGTATATTTAGTTGTAATTCCTAAATTGAAAAGTGGCTAGTGCTTTTTCTGCTTCACAGTTACCGAGTCCGTTTCCAACTCCCCGCTGCGCACCGGGTTGTGCGGGGGAGCCTCGGGGTATCTCCCCTGCTGCTTCCGGGATCCGTGAGGTTGAGGACTTTGTCCTGGTCTTTCTAGGAATAAAGGCCAGGAAAATCAACAGACAGGCTGTTTTGCCAGAGACAGACGTTGTGTGGAACTTCTCTAGAAAGAGATAAAAACTTTATAATGGGGGCTTCGTATTACCTTCCCCTTCCCAAGTCCTCTTAAGAATTTCAGTTGTTGTGTGTCGTTTCAGCAGTGAAAAATGTTTTATCATTGTTAGACGACATGACCAGGCACTTCTCAGCTCTGAAAGAAGGTCTAATTTTTTAGTCTTCACAGTTTCTAGGCCCACGGTGAAGGGTTGCTTAGAATGCCCTGAATTTATGGATAGTTGCCCTTGACGCCAAACACGGATGAGCAGCGCTACCGCCTGTTACGTGGTGGGCTCCGCTTCTTTACCTTCCAGGCGATTGCCGAAGTCTCTCGATCCGACCTTGTGCTTTCGGAAAGAGATCAAGAGAGGGAAAGGGTTTGAATTTCTGGTCCTGATTCTAACAAGAGAGATAGCCTGGTCCCGGAAGCTGATAGCACCCTGCAGTGACAGCGGCACCCAACGACCTTATCCTGTGTATTTCTTTTTGCTGCTCCACTCCATCCCTCGAGAGTCCGATGTGCCCCCTCCTCTAAAAAAAAAAACTGATCATAAGTCTTATGGGACACTGGTTCTCAGAGTGCAAGGAGCCGGACAAGGAGAAGCAGATATTCCTGCCAACTTAAGAATGTCGCTTGAAGGTTCAACTTCACTTTGCTATGAGACTCTCTTGGCTTTATTTGCGCTTCAACGCTAATAGTCAGTTATCTAATTGTATTTTAAACCTAGGCATCGGCAGTGAATACTTTCAAGATTTACTTCACAAAGAAGTCTGTGAAGGAAAAGTTTCATTTCATTGTAACATTTTGGTCAGAGTTTTCCAGTTAAGGGTATATATCCATCCCCCCAGGCCCTATCCCGGATGGCGATTCAGTTCAGTTCAGTCGCTCAGTCGTGTCCGACTCTTGATACCATGACATTTTCCAAGCTTCTCGAGAGTTGCGCATCTGTGCGCCACCATCTCCCTGCTTAACTCCGTATTTGCGTGGGTTTCTTTTTTTATCCGCGGCGCGGCGGCGCGGAGGTGGCTGCGGAGACTGAGGGCTGGGGTCTCCCCGTCCGGCCTTGCGTCTCGGTGTGAGAGAGGTGCCTGTTTCTGTCTCGAAGCCGTGTTGCCCGCCGTCACCTCAAAACTGGAGACAGGTTCTGTTAAGGTGGGCGGGGGGGGGGGGGGGGGCGGGTTAGAAGGTATCTAGTCCTGCGGATCTAAAAACTTGTTTTTTTCCAGTTTTATTCTGTCGGCTGAACAAGAGGTCTGGGAGTCAGTATCTCATTCTCCTCCGAAAGGGGTTTTAAGGCTTCCTCCAGCTACACCTGTGTCCGCTATTCCTTCGGGAATAGGAACGGTCACTGGGCGCGCCTGGAAATTTCTCAGCCGTCTAAGTCTCCGGTGCACACCGCGAGTGGGACTTGACTCGCTTTTAGAGTCTCACGGGGAGGGATGGAGTTCGGGGTCCCAGCCAACGCGCAGTCAACCGACCTCACCCCGAAATGGGTCTCAGCCGGGACTAAAAGGAGCGCATCCGGTTGTAACAGTCTTCGAGGAAAAGTTCTGCCTAGCTCTGTGCATGTGGCAGAACTCAACCAGGGGATCGCGTTTTGCGAAGCTGCGTTTTTTTTGGGGGGGGGGGTTCCTGTCAGTTCAGTCGGTACTGGCTGACTTTACTAGTGAAGCGAGATAAGAATTTCAAACAGGGCCGTCATTTTCTGGTAATTCGTTTTTAATAATAAAACAAACACATGCAAATCCGCTTTTCATTTTTACTTTTGAATTTTACCAGAAATCCCAAATTGGATATTACGCATAACCATTTAGGATGGCGAGGCTGTCATTTAAATCCATTTTCACTCGGTCTTTCCGTTTCCTGAGCACGGCTGGAGATGACAGCTGGGGCTCGCAGGATCTTTGCTCCGACTTTAATTTGGTGCTTCTTTAGGGAAATTCCCGCTTCCGTCCGAGGGCGCTTCGCGGAGCATGACAGCGGGGCCCCACCCCACGCCAGGGGCGTAAGGAAGTGGCTGCACCCCTATCTCCTAGCCGCGACTTGCGCTCCCTGCCTACCAGACAGAGGCGGGAGAACTCCGAAGAACTAGACTCCAGCCGCTAACTCCCCACCCCACGCCTTCTCACTAGGCCCCCCTCCCAGCGTGGTCTGATTTTGAGGTCCCAGGGTTACTGAAGAGATGCATCTCTGTTTGTGGTTCGGGGATGCGAATGTGGGTAGGCACGCGCTCCAGCTCTGCCCGCTGCATTTTGGAGACAGGATTTGACTCCGCCGGTTGCACCAGGAGACTTTGTCCGGGGAGCCCTGGACCAATTAGAACGAACTCGCCCGGGTTAACTCTGTTTCCTCCGTTTCCTGGCCTGCCCTCCCCAGCTGCTCCCAGCTTCTTTCCCAGCTGTTCCGTGTCCCCCAGGGCCGGAGGCAGCAACAGGTTCCAGTCGCCGCGGGGCCAGGTCCCGTGCGATCCAGCGAGAGCACGTGCGCCCGAGCGTGCCCCCCGCCCCCCGGCTTTCTCTGCACCCACAGATCAGTGGTCAGCCTTGGGTCTCCCCTAGTTGTGAGCGGGGCTGGAGCGTTCATTCACCCTCACACTGGGGAAAACCTTGTTACATAGTTGTGGAGCGCACAAATAGGCGTGGCAGATGAGCCAGGACGCGAGTCGGAGGCGCATCCGCGCTGCGAGCCACACAACCCGGGAACGTCCCCCTCCCCCGCCCCGCACCCACCGCACACGTGTGCCCCGCGCGTGTGCTCTCCACTCCGAAGCTCGGAGGAGTGATCGTGAGCATCCGGCTCTGCTTTCAGGGCTCCTGGCACCACAGGTTATGAGCCTTGGGCCCGCGCGCTGCGGGATGCGACTCGTCAGGTGGCCAGAGGATTGCGGCGCCTGAAGGGGCCTCAGGATTGCCGGTCCGCATGTCTGCCTGCGGCGTGAACCCTTCTTCCTCCCCTGAAGACGGCGACTGCGGGGTGCGGGCTGCCCTCGGCTCGATTTAGCGGTCGTGCTTGGCTGGACCTGACATACAGCCGAGCAGGGACCGGGAGAGTTGGAGAGAGCGGCCTCCACGCTTTCCGCCGCGTTTCTTCTTCCCCCAGTTGATCTCTCTTACTCCTGTTTCTCTATATTCCTATCTAAACTTGTTTTTAGAGCAACTAGAATTTCCAGGATACGTGCGACCTGTCCTAACAACCAGAGTGTCAGAGTTTCTGATAGAGACTCCCCAGGGCAGTAGAGGGTGGTCGAGGGGCAGAACTCCATCGGACGCTAGAAGGGCTTCTAGAGGGACTGCTCCTGCTAAGTAAGAGAAGATCGTATTAAAGAGCTCAGATTTTCAGACCTTTGAAAAGGGTAGGAGGTCGAGGTAGAGAGGACCTCAGTAAGCTACAAGTAGGTCAGTGTTTTTCAAACTGAGGGTCCTGACCCATTAGTGGTTTGTAAAATCAATGTAATGGGTTGTGATCAGAATTTTCTTCCAAAGAAATATAATAACAGACAAGCAACCACGAGTGCTCTGCACAGAATAGCCGAAGAGGTAAAATGTCTAAGCACTGTTGGCTGAAACTTTGGATAGGCCACAAGCATAGACTGTATTTATGAGTGTGGGTCTCAGGCAAAAAGTCTGAGAGCCACTGCTGAGGGACCAGTCTATGCCGAAAGTGAAGGAGGGGTGTTGCCTTTACTGAGAGATGCTGATAAGGAAATTTCAGCACTGTGGTTTTGTGGTTAGTCTTCACTTTTGTGTATATTTTTTTTTCCCCATCTCCTCCCCAGCTGCACCAAGATTCCACATTTCTTTATCCCCTGGCTTGCTGAGTGCTTGGAGCCCCGTTGGGGGCATTTTAAGGACCCGGAGACAAGCCCACAAAGCCACTCCCTTTCCCTTTCCCTCTGTTATTTAGCACCTGGGAAGAGAGTGAACGATGAAGAAGTTTCCTGGGGGAAGCCAGAGAGAGGGTGGGGGAGTGACCCTCACATTGTCCATTCACCACGTGCCTGGTCTTTTCATTTATTGCCCAACACTAGGAAAGAAGGAAAGCTTTTGAAGCAAATAGGTAGAGACAGGGATGGGTAAAGATAGTGAAAATACTGAGAAAGATCAGGTAAGTGGGGACTGAGGGGATGGAAGAAGAAGGGAAGTCTGCTAGAACTGAAGGCCAGTAGAGGTGGGGAGGAGAGGACTAGAATGCCCTAGAAATGCAGGATGCCACGGAGCCAACAATAATGTGGATGGGCTTGGAGAAAAAGGAAGCAATCAATAAGGGCAAACAGAAAGGGCACATAAAGGAGGCTGGGGGTGGGGTGGGGTGGGGTGGGCAGATCTAAGATGAAAGTTGGATGTTGAAGCCATAATAAAAGGATTATGTAAGGGGAGGGTGGCTTTAGGTTTGGGAAACCTTGGATTAATGGGGACCACACAGCAGTTTCAAGTTATGTCATAAAGAAATTAAAAGAGGAAAAAAAACCAAAAAACACTGGCACAGAAAAGTACTTCCCCTGTTGGCTTCCCTGGTGGCTCAGAGGTTAAAGTGTCTGCCTCCAATGCAGGAGACCGGGGTTCGATCCCTGGGTCGGGAAGATCCCCTGGAGAAGGAAATGGTAACCCACTCCAGTATTCTTGCCTGGACAATCCCATGGACGGAGGAGCCTGGTAGGCTACAGTCTACAGGCTCGAAAAGAGTTAGACACGACTGAGCGACTTCACTCACTACTAAGGAGCTTCGAAGGCAGGCTTGTTTCCAAAGGGGTGCTGCCATCTCCAGGCTGAGGGGATATGGATTCCTTTGAAGATTCAGGCCAACGTGGAAAGGCAGAACCAAATGGCAGATGAGTAACTTCCATGGTTACTGAGATTCCTCAATCACAATGCATAACTCTGCTTGCCTTGCTGCAAGGCTAGGTCTCAGCTCATGTAATCCTCTCAACTCCAACCTGTGAGGTTCAAATTGTTGCTTCCATTTTACAAATGAGATGAGGCTCAAAGGTGTTGTTAAGTATCTTGGCTTCTACCTACTTGGAATAGCTAGAATTTGAACTCAGAACCAAGACGGTAATCCCAACTGCCTTGCTCTTGTGCTACCTGGGGAGAAGGATTGTACCATTTCCCTCAGCAACTTTTAACAAAACTATGAATTTCTGCTGAGAGTTGAAGATATTGTATTTAGACTTCTACAGGGGAGAACTGACTACATCATAGTGGGGTAGAGATAATAGTGCATTGCTCTTCTTTCTTATTTACGAGAATAATCCCTTTTTATTCTGACTAGGTTTTGATTGCTTTCATAGTTAATGTGTGAAGGAGTTTTGAGTTGCTTGCTTTACTGCCCAAGAAAAGAATGGGAATGATTGCTGTATTTGTTTATGTCACTGAGAAAGTCATATTAAAGGTAGCAAAGAGGAAAAATGTTTTTTCTCCTCAAGTTGTTTGAATTTCCTTTTATTAGTCATTTGATTTTTAGCCAGCTTCTACGTTTCCTCTCAGAAAAACCAAATTGCACATCAGTAAGCTCACTGTAGCCACAGCCCGGAGCAGACCACTCTGTAAAAATGGGCTATGCACGAGCCATTCACTCTTTCTCCTACTTCTCCTGTATTGTGGTCTGCAGTGTTTAACTGTTATGAACATTTTCTTAAAAGCTTCTCTCACAGTCCACCAAATGGCATGAATAGATTTTGCTTAGAGCGTCCAGTGTAGCATGATATTTCTCCAGAAGACTATCTGTATCCAACTTGGCATGGTCAAAGGGCTGCCAAAACAGTCTTATTCTATTACACAATTTATTAGAATATAGCACTTGACATACAAAATATGGTGGATTTAGATCAGCTGTTTGCTTATACAATAGATTTTGTTTGTCTTTGACATTTAATTTAAACTTTGCTTATCTGAGGGCTGGGAATGGGATAAGTATGTTCTGCCTGTGTTCTGCTCCTTATTTTATAAAACTTGCCTGTCTGAAGCTATCCGGAAATAATTCACAATCAGTGACTTAGGACAAGGAAGCCTTGTGACATGTTCTGAAAGTGCCTTTCTGAAATGAAGTTGTGAAAAGTTGAATTATGGAGACCCTAACAGAGGGTTTTATATTTGAGGAATGAAGATAGCTACATTTGCTTTCCTGGTCTTTTGCTGAATTATCCACCCTGTACAGTGAATTGATAGAGCTCAAAACAAGCTTCCAGAAGTCCATAATGAATCTATTTGATGCCAAGAATCTGTGTTCTGTGTAACTGTTCCACTCTGAGTAGTGCTGGGTAGAATGTGCCTGGGCCACATGTGTGGAAACATCAAAAACATTTGACAGATCAGTGACTTATTTTTAATATATCGGAGAAAAATAAAGTCTGTTGCTGTAAAATCTGCACTTGCAGATGTGTTAGCCCTAAATAACCTTTAAAATTGGTTGTGGCGTGGTGGGAGATCTTGGTATTCGTGAGTGTTTTGACATGTTTGACATTTTATGTATGGTGTATTGCTGTGTCTGTCTTGCATTTTTTCCCCCCAATAATGCATGTTTTCCTACTAAAATGCAGCTCTTGGTGTTTATATTTGGCATCTATAAGTTTCCTTATTGGATGGTTTGTTATTATTTATGAAAATTATGTTTTAATGAATTAGATTATAACTACTTTCTTTACTATGGCCATAAAAAGAGAGCCATATAAAGAAGAGATAATTTGATTTTTAGTTTTTAAAGAAAAAATATATTTGATATATGTCAAACATACCAAATTTGCTACAGTCCTGGATTATAACATAAGGAAAAGCTATTCTATGGGATGATTATGCTTTCAGAAGCTGAGGAATTTGTATGCCAGAATCTGGTGTAATGAATAGAGGTTTTGAAGTCTGTCTGAAAAGCATTTAAAATTGTCCTCTATTTGTTTATTTTTGGAAGGAGTGTAAAGGATCCTTAGTAGGGAATTACCAATTAAACTGAGCAATTTAGGTGGCCTTTAGGTAAGTATACTGTAAAACAAAATAATCTACATAAATATAGAGAGAATCAAAGATTTGAACAACATTCTCTGAATAAGATATAGGTTTGATACTTATGATCATCTTTCCTTTGTATCTTGTATGTTAGCTCTGCAGGTAGAGCTGAGTAAATGAGTTAAAAAGATTTAGCTAATCTTTGGCGAGGCATTTTTCAAATTTATGAATACCATGTTACGAAAATAATTGCCTTTTCTTTTTTTGAGTGTTGGAAAAGGCAACAACCTTGAAAAGATTTTGCTACCACTTTTCACCTTGTGTGATAAACATGGTACAATGCAAACTCTGTTCTAATGTCTGTTCGGACTTGTTGAAGAGGATGGATGGATTTGGCTGAAAGTATTGTAATTTAGAACTAATAAATCTCTAATTACCTTTTCCCCCTCTAAAGCTGATGTTGCTAATAATGTGACTTCCCTTTGAATGTTACTTTCTTTAAGACTGTTACTGACTCTAAGGCTTTGACATTTTTTTGTCCCAGATATTTCTCCTGTTCTTAATCTCCACCTGTTATCATCTGCTAGGACCGCACTGTACCTTCAGGAGGAGGACAGAGGGGCAACTTCCTCTGTTCAGGATGTCATTGCTGCTTTTCCTTTGGAGTGGAAGTTTTATGTGCACTTTCCTATGTTCCCTCTCCCTGGGGACTAGCACATCACCTCCATGACACACACAACAATTGTGGCCTGAGGTTTGACAAGAATACCGTAGGTTTACTTTCAGTTAGCACAAGTATTTAATGTTGTATCTTGTAATTCAAGTAGTATCAAGAGACCAGCTTGCACACTATCTGTTATCTATCGGTATCTTCCAGTTTCTCCTCAGGACTCTCAAGGCCTTAGGTCTTTCACATCCCTTTGAGGATTTTTCTGAGGAACATTTCTCTCATAAAACACAAGACAACAGAAAACTTTAACATGAAAGGTGAAATGCTGTTCTTTCAAAAATAGTATTTTGACTTGTAGAGCAAAGTGAATGATAGAGACTAACACTAACAAGATTGTGAATCTCATTTTCAATGTTATGAGTTAGGAAAAAAATGCAAGGCTCATCTTCAATGTGCAGTGTTTTGTATGCTTAACATTGCTTTCATCAAAATATGTAT